TACAGTGGACCCCCGCATAACAATGGCATCACATAGCGATTATTTCGCATACCGCTTACTTTAATCGCAAAATTTTTGCCGCGCATACCGATTAAAAACCCGCTCACCGATTTTCGTCCGAGACGCGTCCAATTGTGCGCCCTCAGCCAGCCTCACATGTGCCGCCCGTGCCATTGTTTACCAGCCAGCCTCCGCGCTAACATCCAAGCATACACTCGGAATATTTCGTATTATTACAGTGTTTTCGGTGCTGTTTCTGGAAAATAAGTGACCATGGGCCCCAAGAAAGCTTCTAGTGCCAACCGTACACCAATAAGGGTAAGAATTCCCATTGAAATGAAGAAAGAGATCATTGATAAGTATGAAAGTGGAGTGCGTATCGCCGACCTAGTCAAGTTGTACAAGAAACCCCAATCAACCATCGCTACTATTGTGGGCACCAAAAAGACAATCAAGGAAGCTGTTCTTGCCAAAGGTTTAACTGTGTTTTCGAAACAAAGATCGCAAGTGATGGAAGATGTTGAGAGACTCTTATTGGTGTGGATAAATGAAAAACAGCTAGCAGGAGATAGCGTCTCTCAAGCGATCATATGTGAAAAGGCTAGGAAGTTGCATGACGATTTAATTAAAAAAATGCCTGCAACTAGTGATGATGTGAGTGAATTTAAGGCCAGCAAAGGTTGGTTTGAGAGAGATTTAAGAAGCGTAGTGGCATCCATAGTGTGATAAGGCATGGTGAGGCTGCCAGTTCGGACCACAAAGCGGCTGAAAAATATGTTCAGGAATTCAAGGAGTACATAGAAACTGAAGGACTGAAACCTGAACAAGTGTTTAATTGTGATGAAACAGGCCTGTTCTGGAAGAAAATGCCAAGCAGGACCTACATTACTCAGGAGGAAAAGGCACTTCCAGGACATAAGCCTATGAAAGACAGGCTTACTCTTCTCATGTGTGCCAATGCTACTGGTGTGATTGCAAAGTGAAGCCTTATTAGTGTATCACTCTGAAACTCCCAGAGCGTTCAGGCAAAAGAATGTCCTCAAGGATAATTTGTGTGTGCTGTGGAGGGCAAACAGTAAGGCATGGGTCACTAGGGAATTTTTCTATAAACTGGTTACACCATGCATTTGCCCCCAATGTGAAAGATTACCTAACTGAAAAGAAATTAGAACTTAAGTGCCTCCTGGTGTTAGACAAATGCCCCTGGTCATCCTACAGACGTGGCAGAGCGACTTTATGGGGACATGAGCTTCATTAAGGTGAAGTTTTTGCCTCCTAATACCACTCCTCTCCTGCAGCCCATGGACCAGCAGGTTATTTCCAACTTCAAGAAACTGTACACAAAAGCTCTGTTTGAAAGGTGCTTTGTAATGACCTCAGAAACTCAACTGACTCTAAGAGAGTTTTGGAGAGATCACTTTAATATCCTCAATTGTGTAAACCTTATAGGTAAGGCTTGGGAGGAAGTGACTAAGAGGACCTTGAACTCTGCTTGGAAGAAACTGTGGCCAGAATGTGTAGACAAAAGGGATTTTGAAGGGTTTGAGGCTAACCCTGAGAGGATTATGCCAGTTGAGGAATCCATTGTGGCATTGGGAAAGTCCTTGGGGTTGGAGGTTAGTGGGGAGGATGTGGAAGAGTTGGTGGAGGAGGACAATGAAGAACTAACCACTGATGAGCTGATAGATCAACTTCAAGAGCAAGAGGCCAGACCTGGGGAAACTGGTTCAAAGGAGGGGAGAGAGAAATTGAAGAAGTTGCCTACTACAAAGATAAAGGAAATCTGTGCAAAGTGGCTTGAAGTGCAAACTTTCATGGATGAAAATCACCCTCACACAGCTATTGCAAGCCGTGTTGGCAACCTGTACACTGACAATGTTGTGAAACACTTTAGGGAAGTGATAAAGGAACGAGAGGTACAGGCCACTATGGACAGATATCTTGTGCAAAAGAAGTCCAGTGACTCTGAAGCTGGCCCTAGTGGCATTAAAAGAAGAAGGGAAGTAACCCCAGAAAAGGACTTGCTACCTCAAGTCCTAATGGAAGGGGATTCCCCTTCTAAACAGTAAGAAGATAATGCTCTCCCCTCCTCCCATCCCATCAATCATCACCAGATCTTCAATAAAAGTAAGTGTCATGTAAGTGTGCATGCTTTTTCAGTTTGTGTGTATTAAAATTAATATTTCATGTGGTAAAAAAAATTTTTTTTCATACTTTTGGGTGTCTTGCACGGATTAATTTTATTTCCATTATTTCTTATGGGGAAAATTCATTCACATAACGATTATTTCGCATAACAATTACCCCTCTTGCACGGATTAAAATCGTTAAACCGGGGGTCCACTGTATATATATATATATATATATATATATATATATATATATATATATATATATATATATATATATATATATATATAAATATATATATTAATATATATATATATATATATATATATATATATATATATATATATATATATATATATATATATATATATATATATAATATATATATATATATATATATATATATAATTTATATATATTATATATATATATAATATATATATATATATATATTATATATATATATATATATATATATATTAATATATATATATATATATATATATAAATTATATAATATATATATATATATATTATATATATATATATATTATTAATATATATATATATATATATATATAAATATATATATATATATATATATATATATATATATATTATATATATATTAGGTAGTAGGTTGGTAGACAGCAACCGCCCAGGGAGGTACTACCGTCCTGCCAAGTGAGTGTAAAACGAAAGCCTGTAATTCTTTTACATGATGGTAGGATTGCTGGTGTCCTTTTTTCTGTCTCATGAACATGCAAGATTTCAGGTACGTCTTGCTACTTCTACTTACACTTAGGCCACACTACACATACATGTACAAGTGTATATATACCTACCCCTCTGGATTTTCTTCTATTTTCTTTCTAGTTCTTGTTCTTGTTCTTGTTTATTTCCTCTTATCTCCATGGGGAGGTGGAACAGAATTCTTCCTCCGTAAGCCATGCGTGTTGTAAGAGGCGATTAAAATGTCGGGAGCAAGGGGCTAGTAACCCCTTCTCCTGTATATATTACTAAATGTAAAAGGAGAAACTTTCGTTTTCCCTTTTGGGCCACCCTGCCTCGGTGGGATACGGCCGGTGTGTTGAAAGAAAAAAAGAATATATATATACATGTATATATATTTTTTTTCTAACAAGTCTGCCGTCTCCCACCGAGGCAAGGTGACCCAAAAAGAAAGCAAATCCCCAAAAGAAAATACTTTCATCATCATTCAACACTTTCACCTCACTCATACATAATCACTGTTTTTGCAGAGGTGCTCAGAACACAACAGTTTAGAAGCATATTCAATTCAATTCAAGTTTATTCTCTATAAGGGTTACAATGTGGGGTTTACAGGTTTTGGGTATTGTGTGGTTTACATGTTATAAAATACTAATTACAGAGGGGGCCACTAGGACACCTAGCATGGCTAGGCATTTCAAGCAGACTTAGATTAATTCTTAACATTAAATCCTTACAGATTATGGATTAAGGCTTAGTGACTACATCATAATTTGTGAGTTTAGCAACATATCCCTCCAAACTGCTAATATTCCGAACCCCTCCTTTAGAGTGCAGGCGTTGTACTTCCCATTTCCAGGACTCAAGTCCGGCTATATAAAAATAACCGGTTTCCCTGAATCCCTTCACTAAATATTACCCTGCTCACACTCCAACAGATTGTCAGGTCCCAAATACCATTCTTTTCCATTCACTCCTATCGAACACACTCATGCACGCCTGCTGGAAGTCCAAGCCCCTCGCCCACAAAACCTCCCTTACCCCTTCCTTCCAACCTTTACGAGGACGACCCCTACCCCGCCTTCCTTCCCCTACAGATGTAAACACTCTCCATGTCATTTTACTTTGATCCATTCTCTCTAAATGACCAAACCACCTCAACAACCCCTCTTCAGCCCTCTGACTAATACTTTTGTTAACTCCACACCTCCTAATTTCCACACTCCGAATTTTCTGCATAATATTTACACCACACACATTGCCCTTAGACAGGACATCTCCACTGCCTCCAACCACCTCCTCGCTGCTGCATTCGCAACCCAAGCTTCACACCTGTATAAGAGTGTTGGTACTACTATACTTTCATACATTCCCTTCTTTGCCTCCATAGATAACGTTTTTTGTCTCCACATATACCTCAACACATCACTTGCCTTTTTTCCCTCATCAATTCTATGATTAACCTCATCCTTCATAAATCCATCCGCCGACACGTCAACTCCCAAGTACTATCTGAAAACATTCACGTCTTCCATACTCCTCCTCCCAAATTTGATATTCAATTTTTCTTTATCTAAATCATTTGATACCCTCATCACCATACTCTTTTCTATGTTCACTTTCAACTTTCTACCTTTACACACACTCCCAAACTCATCCACTAACCTTTTGCAATTTTTCTTTAGAATCTCCCATAAGCACAGTAATATCAGCAAAAGCAACTCTGTCAATTCCGATTTTGTATTTGATTCCCCATAATTTAATCCCACCCCTCTCCTGAACACTTTAGCATTTACTTCTTTTACAACCCCATCTATAAATATATTAAACAACCATGGTGACATTACACAACCCTGTCTATGACCTACTTTTGCCGGGAAGTAGTCTCCCTCTCTTCTACACACCCTAACCTGAGCCTCACTACCCTCATAAAAACTCTTTACAGCATTTAGTAACTTACCACCTTACTTGCAACATCTGCCACATTCATCACTGGTATGATATTCACACAGTTTAATTCAGCAACATAGTAAATACCTATAACACTTTTTTTGTTCTACATTTATGGGTATGTTCAGTACATTAGTGAAATCCTGTTTTATCCAGGTTTCAGTTAAAATAATGTTTCATTTTTCCAGGGTGTAAAGGCAATCTGGTCTCCACACACTGGCATCGTTGATTGGGGGTTAGTGACTGAGCATTATGGTAAAAACTTCCGTGATTCTGGGGGGAGCATTCATCTTGACTTCAAAGTCACAGACTTCCAGCTCATGGAAGGCAGTGGAAATGGCAAAGAAAAAGATGCAGAGTATCCTGTTCGGGTCATCAGTAACGGAAAAGCAAGTGTTCTCATAAACTGTTAGTTCAAGTTCTTACACAAATTACATGAATATATTTCCTGTCTTTAATCTACTAGCTATAATTTACATATATTTTCACCAGTAAAATTATACAAACAAATGCATACAAATTATTTCAGAATACAGTATTGCATCACTTTTTTTTTTGTAAGAAGAGTTTTCCTTTATTTTTGAGTGGAGTTTAGTATGTGCATGTTTACTAGTGTATTTATGAATTTATAATTATTTACTGTATATTCTTGAGGATGCCCTCACCATGTATAAACCGTCCCTTGACTTTCTGCCAAAACAATCCTTACTATTTCATATATCTTGTGAATCTCTGTTGAGATTCGTTAATTATATTATGCTCATCAGGGTAGCTTATAATTAATGTCCGGTATTATTGTGGCTTGTGTAGGAGAAAGGGAGATTACTTTCCAGTAAAAGTAGGCTTTAGACAGGGATGTGTAATGTCACCATGGTTGTTTAACATATTTATTGATGAGGTTGTAAAAGAAGTAAATGCTAGGGTGTTGGCAAGAGGTGTGGGATTATAAGATGATGAATCTAACACACAGTGGGAGTTGTCAGTTGCTTTTTGCTGATGACACTACTTTTGGGAGATTCTGAAGAGAGGTTGCAGAAGCTGGTAACTGAATCTGGAAGGGTATGTAATAGGAGGAAATTAAAAGTGAACATAGGAAAGAGTAAGGTGATGAGGATGACAAAAAATTTAGGTAATGTAAGATTGGATATCAGATTGGAGGGAGGGAGTATGGAAGTGAATGTCCTCAGATATTTGGGAGTTTACTTGTCAGCATATGGGTCTATGAAAGACAAGGTGAATCATAGAATTAATGAGGGGAAAAAAAGGTGAGTGGTGCATTGATGAGTCCGTGGAGACAAAAAATGTTATCCATGGAAGCAAAGAGGGGACTTTACCTGGAGAGAGTTTCGGGGGTCAATGTTCCCGTGACCCCGTGGATCAGGGTCTGATGAACCAGGCTGTTACTGCTGGCTGCACGCAAGCTGACATATAGTTATACCAGTGTTCTTATGTGGATGTGAAGCATAGGTAGTGAATGTTGCAACAAGGAGAAGGCTGGAGGCAGTGGAGATGTCGTGTCTGATGGCAATGTGCAGTGTGAATGTAATGCAGAGAATCCGTAGTTTGGAAATTAGGAGGAGGTGCGGGATTTCTAAAAGTATTATCCAAAGGGCTGAGGAGGGGTTGTTGAGGTGATTTGGACATTTAGAGAGAATGGAACAAAATAGAATGACTTGGAGAGTGTATAAATTGGTAGTTGAAGGCTGGGTAGGAGTTGGCCTAGGAAAAGTTGGAGGGAGGGAGTAAAGGAGGTTTTGTGTGTGAGGGGCTTGGACTTCCAGCAAACATGCATGAACATGTTAGATAGCAGTGAGTGGAGACAAATGTTTTCTTTTATGGCTTGATGTGCTGTTGGAGTGTAAGCAAAGTAACATTTATGAAGGGATTCAAGGAAACCGGTAAGGCGGACTTGAGTCCTGGAAGTGGAAAGTATAGTGCCTTTGCTTTGAAGGAGGGATGTTGATGTTGCAGTTTTTTAATTGTAGTGTAGGCATGCCTCTGGCAAGACAGTGATGGAGTGAATGATGATGAAAGTGTTTCTTTTTCAGGTGACCCTGCCTTGGTGAAACAGCCAATGTATTAATAAAAAATAAAAAAGCTCGGGATTATCAGTGCTTTCTTTCTAGTAGCACCATGCTTTTTCCTTATTTCCTCTTCTGTCTCATTATGTAATAGCCTCTAATAAAAAATGCATGTTATAAAATTTTTGTGATAAATATTATTGTGATAAGGTCATGAGTGGTTGTGTATTTATTTAGGAGCTGATTTGTTCGAGGTCCCTTTTGTGTTCCTATACACTACCTCAATGTACATATATTGTTGGAGAGTGTAGTGGGTGGTAAGAAGTGAGGTGAGGGGTCAGTAGGTGAAAGGAAAAGGAATGAGTGGTGGAAAATTTGGGAGGTAGATGAGAGCTTTTGGGAGGTTGAGATGGAGAGTATAGAAATGGCATGTGGGAAAAGTTCACTTCTCTTGCTTCATTTCCCGTTTCCAGTTGCAGTACATTAATGTTTGCTCTCAATTCTATGTTATTCTAATTATTCTTCCCAGAGTATTCCATATTGTGGTTCTTTGATGTTATAAAGAACTTGGTCTTAACTGTACACTTCGTACAATGGCAGTTTATACCTGTTTTGTTTCCATTGTCTTAAATATTGTTCCATTGTTGTTTAAAGATTGTCATTCCTTATGTCAGCCTAAAAAAAAAAAAATCATTTATTTTTTTCTTAGATCCTAATCCTTCTGTTTATCTTGTAGACCTTAAATCTTTCACACCTCCATATTCAGAACTTCATTATTCATTTATAGGCTGCCGCTACTCAAGGCTTTCCCTCGTATAATTTGTAGTTTTGTTTGCATGTGTGTATTTGTTGGTAATTATAACTTTTTTTTAATTGTTCTTTTGTCATGAACTGATTATGAAAAGTTCTCATGAAAACATATCAAACTAAAAAAAATAAAAATGAATATTATTTCCAAATAGAGCTTACAATAGTTACAAAAAGGTACAAGCTGTTTGGAAAAATTTGAAAGCAGGGTACAATAAAGTATTCAGATTTAAAAACTAGCATATAGTACTGTCTCCCATGCCTTGTGGCACCACAGGAAATTTAGTACAGCACCACTATATTAGCACAACATCAATAGGTGTACCTAAGCATTTTCATTACCTGGAGTACACAAAGAAAGTGGTGAATAGGGATTACTTTAAATATTTTTTGGGCGTTTATAAAAGTTTTTAAGTGTATTTTCCTCTCAGGTTGTTCGTTGCAAATATGTGTTGACTTGTGGTGGCTTACAGTCAGACAAGTTGGCAAAGTTGTCAGGATGCTCTGAGGACCCTCGGATTGTACCCTTCAGAGGAGAGTACCTTCTTTTGAAGAAAGAAAAAGCTCACCTTGTTAGAGGTAATATATATCCTGTGAGTATTAAAAAGTGTGATGCTTTAACTGAAATACAAGCTTACAACCCATGTCCTCCCCATCTCATATCTGGTTTTTCATATTTATGTAGTGGGGGGCTTCTGTGAATTGTGCTTGGGTGATTACAGTCTTCAAAGCCTAGTCCACGGAAGAAGACCCAAATGTTTTTTGTTTTAACTCTTTCAGTGCCCAGAACACTGATATTAATATTGCTTCTAGTGTCCACCTTTTTTTCCACATGAAAGAACAAAAAAAAAAAAAAATTTCTTCTGAAATGGTGGAGAATCTTTCTCTGATTGTAATGACTCCAAAAGTACAAAATTTGATGGAAAACTTAAGGAATTACGCAAGCACAAAGTTAGCTGTCTGGGTGCAGTTTATGCTTTGGCATTTTTGCCAACTTTGAGTCCTATTTAAAGTCATTCCATTGCTGCATTCAACCATATTCTTATCTATTTCACTAGTGTGCCTTCTGTTTAATTAATTGAAGGCAAGAAACTGCCCATTCAATTATTTCAACTACAGAATTAATAATTTGGCCAATTTTACTTGTAATTAAAAAATTACCAGCTTAAAAAAAACTGCAAAATAAACAACATAGACATTCCTCTCTTATAGTACACTTGCCTTCCATTTTGAATTCATAATTACACGAAAATGGAAGACTGCTCTATTTCCTGGATGTTAATAAAATAATTGAATCATACCTACTAAAAACACATGGAACACACTGGGGAGTGTAGGGAAGGGGCCTTACCAGTCCTCAGGAAAATTAGCAAAAATCAAATATTTTCACTGATTTGAGCCCAATTTCAAACTAATTTTGAATCTAAAACCAACCAAAATCAGCTCTGTTTCAGCAGTATGTCTTCCATTCTGTCAACTGATACCTAGAAACAGCCAATAAAATCATAAAAACAAGACTGCCAGTTTTGTGTCCATGTAATTCCATAAGTTTTCTATCAAATTTTACATTTTTGGAGTCTTTCTTTTCTTACAACATGCTGGCTGTATCCCACCGAGGCGGGATGGCCCAAAAGGAAAAACAAAAATTTCTCGTTTTACAATTAGCAATATATACAGGAGGGGTTACTAGCCCCTTGCTCCTGGCATTTTAGTCACCTCTTATGGCATGCATGGCTTACGGAGGAGGAATTCTATTCCCCTTCCCTATGGAGAATTTTTGGAGTCATTACGTGAAAAAAATCTGTACCATTTCAGACTTTGACACTGTGCACTTTTAATTTTGAAGGGTTCCAACAGTGAAAAGGTTAAGCACAGCCCATAAATATGCTGTGAAAAGTAAATTTTAGCCTAGACATGAGAGAATGGGTCTGTACAGTGGGTGTGCACAGTAGAAAAAAATTATCCTGCCTCCACACAGTGCGTGAAGGGAAAAAGCAAACCTCTGACATTGTCTTTGGTTTAAAATAGCAACCTTGGGGTGTTTTCTAGGGTATTTTTTTATGGTTTTATTGGGTTTCTTTGCATCAGTTGATAGGATGGAGACACTAGTGTGACAATATTTGATTTCTGGCAATTTTTCCTAAGGATTAGGGACCCCATCTTTCTCTCTTTTTTTTTTTTTTTTTTTTTTTTTTTTTTACTGAGCCCACTTCAATTATTGGGATGGACTAAACTATGAACAATCATTCTTGGTTTTATGTTATAATCCAAGAATAGGGTAAATCAGATTTTTTTGTGATGCTGGATTCAAAATGGAAGGTAAGTGTTGTATAGGAGAGGTCTGGGGACATGATTAATGAGCAGAGGAAAGGCTGCTTTAGTAGCTGGAATGCCTGTAGTGTTTTTTTTGGACTCTGTTTTTAAATTGGAATTTGTGGAGTTTTGTTAAATTCTGTATACTGTTTGGGCAATTTCTTGTTCAGTAGGGCCCCACTTATTTGGCAGGTTAGGTTCCAGGCTACTGCCGGAAAGCAGACTTTGCCAGAAAGCAGAACTGATTTTTCCATTTATAAATGCATATAAATGCATTTATAAGTTTACACTAACATATATTAAGTTAGCAGTAGAACTAGGCATTAAAAAGTAAAATACACATGCGGTACACTCATTATTTACCTCAAAATATTTGTAGTCTTAATGTAGGGGAAAACGTGAGTAGTATTTACTCTAAGAAATCAGATGTGGTATCCCTCCTGGCCACCCCACCCACACATACTATACTACAATGCATAAAGCTCCCTAGAGTGATAAAATGTATATACAGTACACGTATTACTTACCTTAAAATATTTGTAGTCTTAATGGTCTTAATGTAGGGTGAGAGGTGAAAAGTATTTATTTGTAGAAAATTGTGTGGGAGGTATGGCTTCCTGCCTTGCCACTTATACCTACTACGACATTAAGCTCCCTAGAGTGATAAAATGCACATATAGTACCTTAAAATATTTGTAGTCTTAATGTAGGGTGAGAGGTGAGTTTTATTTGTATGAAGTCAGGTTGGAAAGTATGGGTAGCCAGGAAGGGCAGCCCTCACCACCCCACCCACACAAAATGTAAACAAACCAGATGAACGCGTTTGGTTTTGGTCACTTTACTTGTGTACAAGTTGTCTCCATGTTGATATAGTAGAATAAATAGAGAGAAACACTCCCATTCTTGTGTAACACCATTTTTAGAAGAAATGATGCCCTAAGTGAAGGCATACGAAAGGAATAATTTTCTAGTTACCCTCCAGTAATATTATAGTGACATATTTTCTCTGATGTTGGACTACAAGTTGCCTGGCTACCACAAGTTGCCTGGCTACAACAAGTCCTACAAGTCACCTGGCTACCACATCTTATCTCATCTTTCTTTCAACACACCGGCCATATCCCACCGAGGCAGGGTGGCCCAAAAGGAAAAACGAAAGTTTCTCCTTTTACATTTAGTAATATATACAGGAGAAGGGGTTACTAGCCCCTTGCTTCTGGCATTTTAGTCACCTCTTACAACACGCATGGCTTACGGAGGAAGAATTCTGTTCCACTTCCCCATGGAGGTAAGAGGAAATAAACAAGAACAAGAACTAGTAAGAAAATAGAAGAAAACCCACCTGGGTGTGTATATATATATGCTTGTACATGTATGCTTGTACATGGTAAATGTAAATGGGGAGCCTTTAATTGAGCTATGTGTAGAAAGAAATTTGGTAATAAGTAATACATATTTTATGAAAAAGAGGATAAATAAATATACAAGGTATGATGTAGCACGTAATGAAAGTAGTTTGTTAGATTATGTATTGGTGGATAAAAGGTTGATGGGTAGGCTCCAGGATGTACATGTTTATAGAGGGGCAACTGATATATCGGATCATTATTTAGTTGTAGCTACAGTTAGAGTAAGAGGTAGATGGGAAAAGAGGAAGGTGGCAACAAGTAAGAGGGAGGTGAAAGTGTATAAACTAAGGGAGGAGGAAGTTTGGGTGAGATATAAGCGACTATTGGCAGAAAGGTGGGCTAGTGCAAAGATGAGTAGTGGGGGGGTTGAAGAGGTTTGGAATAGTTTTAAAAATGCAGTATTAGAATGTGGGGCAGAAGTTTGTGGTTATAGGAGGGTGGGGGCAGGAGGAAAGAGGAGTGACTGGTGGAATGATGAAGTAAAGGGTGTGATAAAAGAGAAAAAGGTAGCTTATGAGAGGTTTTTACAAAGCAGAAGTGTTATAAGAAGAACAGAGTATATGGAGAGTAAAAGAAAGGTGAAGAGAGTGGTGAGAGAGTGCAAAAGGAGAGCAGACGATAGTGGGAGAGGCACTGTCAAGAAATTTTAATGAAAATAAGAAAAAATTTTGGAGCGAGTTAAACAAGTTAAGAAAGCCTAGGGAAAGTATGGATTTGTCAGTTAAAAACAGAGTAGGGGAATTAGTAGATGGGGAAAGGGAGGTATTAGGTAGATGGCGAGAATATTTTGAGGAACTTTTAAATGTTGAGGAAGAAAGGGAGGCGGTAATTTCATACACTGGCCAGGGAGGTATACCATCTTTTAGGAGTGAAGAAGAGCAGAATGTAAGTGTGGTGGAGGTACGTGAGGCATTACGTAGAATGAAAGGGGGTAAAGCAGCTGGAACTGATGGGATCATGACAGAAATGTTAAAAGCAGGGGGGGATATAGTGTTGGAGTGGTTGGTACTTTTGTTTAATAAATGTATGAAAGAGGGGAAGGTACCTAGGGATTGGCAGAGAGCATGTATAGTCCCTTTATATAAAGGGAAAGGGGACAAACGAGATTGTAAAAATTATAGAGGAATAAGTTTACTGAGTATACCAGGAAAAGTATACGGTAGGGTTATAATTGAAAGAATTAGAGGTAAGACAGAATGTAGGATTGCGGATGAGCAGGGAGGCTTCAGAGTGGGTAGGGGATGTGTAGATCAAGTGTTTACATTGAAGCATATATGTGAACAGTATTTAGATAAAGGTAGGGAAGTTTTTATTGCATTTATGGATTTAGAAAAGGCATATGATAGAGTGGATAGAGGAGCAATGTGGCAGATGTTGCAAGTATATGGAATAGGTGGTAAGTTACTAAATGCTGTTAAGAGTTTTTATGAGGATAGTGAGGCTCAGGTTAGGGTGTGTAGAAGAGAGGGAGAATACTTCCTGGTAAAAGTAGGTCTTAGACAGGGATGTGTAATGTCACCATGGTTGTTTAATATATTTATAGATGGGGTTGTAAAAGAAGTAAATGCTAGGGTGTTTGGGAGAGGGGTGGGGTTAAATTATGGGGAATCAATTTCAAAATGGGAATTGACAGTTACTTTTTGCTGATGATACTGTGCTTATGGGAGATTCTAAAGGAAAATTGCAAAGGTTAGTGGATGAGTTTGAGAATGTGTGTAAAGGTAGAAAGTTGAAAGTGAACATAGAAAAGAGTAAGGTGATGAGGGTATCAAATGATTTAGATAAAGAAAAATTGGATATCAAATTGGGGAGGAGGAGTATGGAAGAAGTGAATGTTTTCAGATACTTGGGAGTTGACGTGTCGGCGGATGGATTTATGAAGGATGAGGTTAATCATAGAATTGATGAGGGAAAAAAAGGTGAGTGGTGCATTGAGGTATATGTGGAGTCAAAAAATGTTATCTATGGAGGCAAAGAAGGGAATGTATGAAAGTATAGTAGTACCAACACTCTTATATGGATGTGAAGCTTGGGTGGTAAGTGCAGCAGCGAGGAGACGGTTGGAGGCAGTGGAGATGTCCTGTCTAAGGGCAGTGTGTGGTGTAAATATTATGCAGAAAATTCGGAGTGTGGAAATTAGGAGAAGGTGTGGAGTTAATAAAAGCATTAGTCAGAGGGCAGAAGAGGGGTTGTTGAGGTGGTTTGGTCATTTAGAGAGAATGGATCAAAGTAGAATGACATGGAAAGCATATAAATCTATTGGGGAAGGAAGGAGGGGTAGGGGTCGTCCTCGAAAGGGTTGGAAAGGGGGGTAAAGGAGGTTTTGTGGGCGAGGGGCTTGGACTTGCAGCAAGCGTGCATGAGTGTGTTAGATAGGAGTGAATGGAGACTAATGATACTTGGGACCTGACGATCTGTTGGAGTGTGAGCAGGGTAATATTTAGTGAAGGGATTCAGGGAAACCGGTTATTTTCATATAGTCGGACTTGAGTCCTGGAAATGGGAAGTACAATGCCTGCACTTTAAAGGAGGGGTTTTGGGATATTGGCAGTTTGGAGGGATATGTTGTGTATCTTTATACGTATATGCTTCTAAACTGTTGTGTTCTGAGCACCTCTGCAAAAACAGTGATAATGTGTGAGTGTGGTGATAGTGTTGAAAGTATTTTCTTTTTGGGGATTTTCTTTCTTTTTTGGGTCACCCTGCCTCGGTGGGAGACGGTCGACTTGTTGAAAAAAAAAAAACATGTATGTGTAGTGTGACCTAAGTGTAAGTAGAAGTAGCAAGACTTACCTGAAACCTTGCATGTTTATGAGACAGAAAAATGGACACCAGCAATCCTTCCATCATGTAAAACAATTACAGGCTTTCGTTTTACACTCACTTGGCAGGACGGTAGTACCTCCCTGGGCGGTTGCTGTCTACCAACCTACTACCTAGGTACCACATCTCATATTTATGTTAATTTATTCTACTGTGGGGCGTATTTAGGTGGATTAAGCAATATGTCTATATTAACGTTTTATACGATATTTAATGCTTCTTAGAGTGATTGTTATTGCGTTATTATTATTATCATTATTAATATGGCATCTTCAAGACTAATAAGACACTCTTAGTGATTTTAATGTGTACCTGCATGCCAGCACAGTGTGTAAGTTTACTTAGTTACAGGTACACATACCTTTAATTATCAGTTATAATAATAATAATAATGTAGGTATGTAGTCTGCCTGGGCTACATACCTACACCTACCTACATAGCTACACAATATTTAATGTGGCCCAGAGCCATATTACCATCAACATAAAATGTTCACTGAGTTTAATCGTTTATAACAACTACCTCTAGATGCCATCATATACAAATGGAGAAGTAATGAATAATTCATGACGAGAATTGTAAACAAGTGCCCTATGTATTAAGGGGAGTGATGTAATGTTTTCCCTCAGCCTGGCTACCACACCTTAATAGTATATAAACATAAAATGTTTATATACTATGTAGTTTATATAATATGTAGTATATAAACATAAAATGTTTATATACTATGTAATGCGTTTCATATATAATTTTGAAGAAAATATAATAGATGGATTAATGAAAATGTCTATATTAACGTAAAAGAAGACATTTAATGTGCCCAAGAGTGATTTTTATTAGTATTACGCAATGTTTTCCCTCCACCCGGCAACCACACCTGCATAGCATATAAACAGCAGTAGGTGTAGGTATGTATGCTGTGTAACGTGTTTTTTATATAATTTTGAAGAAAATATCATAGATGGATTAATGAAAAAGTCTATATTGACATAAAATTAGACATTTAATGTGCCCAAGAGTGATTATTATTACATAATAGAGAGATGTGCTCATGGAGAATGTAAACAAACTGGGTGGCCCGTGCCGTATTTGAAAGACCACTTGCCGTATAGAAAGTTTTGGTCATAATTTGAGATTGCCGTATTAGCGGAATGCCGTAAGGCGAAACGCTGAAAAGTGGGGCCCTACTGTATTCACTTTATAGAAAACAAGACATACATGTGAAATAGTTTGGAATTGGGGTGAAATTGATCAATGCAATTGGCTTAAAATAGGATGGAAATTGGTCGATATTCTTAATGCATAAAGTGTGCCAAGACTGCCAACACTTTAGAAGTTAAAATTATTTTTTCAGAAATGTCACGACACTCAGCACTTATGATGGTTGTAATAATGAAAGGGTTAAAAAAAAAGGCAGTTTTTTTGTCATGAATATTGGAATTCAGTAATGGTAAATGAAATCACAAACTGTGTTTTTAACTACATTTTTTTTCTTTTTTGGTCTTCACTACTATGATAGATTTCTGTATTGGAAAATGTGGATTATGTTTCAGGTACCAGATCCTCGATTTCCATTCTTGGGTGTGCACTTCACTCCAAGGATGAATGGTGACATATGGTTAGGCCCAAATGCAATTTTTGCACTCAAACGAGAAGGATATAGGTTAGTGGTTTTTGCTCATTCTCTTTATTCAGGAAACTAATTACTTCTTAGTTACTGTAATAACTTTTTTTAATTTGTATATATTTGTGAGTTGGCGCGTCAGCGGATGGATTTATGAAGGATGAGGTTAACCATAGAATTGATGAAGGAAAAAAGGTGAGTGGTGCATTGAGGTATTTGTGGAGACAAAAAACATCATCTATGGAGGCAAAGAAGGGAATGTATGAAAGTATAGTGGTACCAACACTCTTATATGGGTGTGAAGCTTGGTGTTAATGCTGCAGCGAGGAGGCGGTGGAGATGTCCTATCTAAGGGCAATGTGTGGTGTAAATATTATGCAGAGAATTTGGAATGTGGAAATTAGGAGAATGTGTGGAATTAATAAAAGTATTAGTCAAAGGGCTGAAGAGGGGTTGTTGAGGTAGTTTGGTCATTTAGAGAGAATGGATCAAAGTAGAATGACATGGAGAGCATTTAAATCTGTAGGAGAAGGAAGGCGGGGTAGGGGTCATCCTCGAAAAGGTTGGAAGGAAGGGGTAAGGGAGGTTTTGTGGGCGAGGGGCTTGGACTTCCAGCAGGTGTGCATGAGCGTGTTCGATAGGAGTGAATGAAGACGAATGGTATTTGGGACCTGACGATCTGTTGGAGTGTGAGCAGGGTAATATTTAGTGAAGGGATTCAGGGAAACTGGTTATTTTTATATAGCTGGACTTGAGTACTGGAAATGGGAAGTACAATGCCTGCACTTTAAAGGAGGGGTTTGGGATATTGGCAGTTTGGAGGGATATGTTGTGTATCTTTATACGTATATGCTTCTAAACTGTTGTGTTCTGGGCACAGCTGCAGAAACAGTGGTTATGTATGAGTGAGGTGAAAGTGTTGAATGATGATGAAAGTATTTTCTTTTTGGGTTTTCTTTCTTTTTGAGTCACCCTGCCTTGGTGGGAGATGGCCAAATTGTTAAAAAAAAAATGTTATGTCCTGATGATTCATTTATGGTATATGATATCCAGCAGATTTATTAACAATAAATTATGGTGTGTACAGTATAAGCAGTTTTGTTATGAACTGTAAGCCAGTGGAAGGTCTTGGTCAGATGAACAAAATCTCCAGTGGCAAGTTATCATGGGATTGAGACCCACATCAGGAAATGCTTGTCCTGTTTCCTGATGAATCTTACCTAACCTAACCTGTATCCCTGCCTGTTTCCAACATTTCTGTTTTGATCCCATCAATCCCAGCTGCTTTACTTCCTTTCATTCTACCCACTGCCTCATGCACCTCCCTTACACTCTCATCAGGCTCTTCCTCATGCCTGAAAGATATTATATTATGCCTTATTATACCTTCCTGCTCATTGCATGAAATCACTGTATCCCTCTCTTCAACCCTCTAACAGCTCCTCAAAATATTCCCTCCATCTTCCCAGTAGTGGTACCTGGAGTTACGAGCTTAATTTGTTCCAGAAGGCTGTCTGAGTGCCGATACTGAACGAATTTGTTCCAATAAGGAATGTAAATTAGATTAGTCCATTTCAAACCCCCAAAAATACACTTACAAAAGCACTTACAAAAATACGCTTAGATGATTGTTTGAGTTGGGAGCTGTTCGAAACTCGAGGTACCACTGTACTTCCACTTTCCCACGTAATAACTTGCTTTTGTTCTTAATTGTTAAGTCCATTTGTTTCCTAGACTTTTCTCAAGTTTTTAGTTTCAATCTAAAGCTTTCCTTATTCTTAGCAAAATTTGTTGACAAAACCTCACCCACTCTCATTTCCTTCATGTATGTAATAATGTTTAATCAAATGCATTCATGAAATGTATGTTACCATACCATTGTTTAAATTCTTTTATTGTAATACAGGTCAGCCATCACTAATCCAGCATCATTGGGACCTGTAGTGTGCCGGATTAATGAGTTTGCCTGATTACAGAGTGGTTAGGTTAGAATACACTTAATTAACCTATCAATAGAGACTCTGCTACATCTTCCTCATGTTCATCACTGCTTTCTCCTCCACTAGCTTGCTGCTGTAGATTTACAACCATCTGCACAATTTCTGAGTCAGTATAATGATGAAATTTGAGTCAGTATAATGATGAGATTTGGAATTATGCTAGCTGAAATTAGTACCGGATAACTGATTGCCGTATTAGTGATTGCCAATCTGTACTGTAATTTTTATAAAATAATTCAAAACTGTAATTATTCACTAGTAAACTTCTCTACTAGACCTATTACAGCCATTAATACTCAAGTCTCTGTACTCACTGTAATTCACCTAATGATCATTTAATCTATTACGTATAGCCTAATTAAACTTAAGTTAGTTTTAAGTTTGCCCGAAATGCTCTGTATGCAAGGGGCTTTTGGCATGTACACTTAACTATTATATTTCTTTGTACAGTTATGTATCATGTGAAAATAAAATATTATTATTATTATACAGGATGTAGTCAGGGCCCCACCTTACCAGTGGATTGCTTTTAGTGTTTTAATTTACAATAGTCGTTTTTCACCTTGATCCTACTATTCTATACAGATATTTGTAGAGAGAATAATTATTATTCTTTCAATAAACCAGCCATATCCCATTGAGGCAGGGTGGCCCAAAAAGAAAAGCGAAAGTTTTTCTTTTTAACTTTAGTAATATATACAGGAAAAGGGGTAACTAGCCTGTTGCTTCCAGCATGTTAGTCGCAAAGAGAATAATAATGTATTGCAAACATTGGTAGCTGTAGCTCAGCATTCATAAAACCACTATTTTCTCAGATACGCCTTGGACCTTATTTGTAAATACAGATTATCATAACTTAAGTGTTTATAATTCACTGACTCCCAGTATGATTTTTGGTAAACGTGTAGCATGCTTATATTTTTTAGTGCAAATTGGTTAAAAAAATATTTTTTAAGGTGCTCATTTTCTTTTGTCACAGTACACAACCCCTTAATTAAAAAATGGTCATAGAATGTTGATCAAATAATTAGCAATGAAATAGAATCAGTGTATGTTAGATCATTATAATTAATTAATTATAATGATTAGAACATAAGTTATGATAGAAAATGTAATTGAAAATAGCCTCTTGACAAAATGCTTTTATAACAATGTTGCCATTAATTTGTCAGATATAACATTAGATAAGAATACATCTATTGCTTGTGATTATGGCTTAATTTTTGTATCCTCTAAGAGTTAATAATGTTGAAATTGCTTAGGCTTTTCAAAGCCTTCTTGCCTGATGATATCAATGTATGCAATGGTATACAGTGGACCCCCGGTTAACGATTTTAATCCGTGCAAGAGGGCTCATCGTTATGCGAAATAATCGTTATGCGAATGAATTTTCCCCATAAGAAATAATGGAAATCAAATTAATCCGTGCAAGACGCCCAAAAGTATGAAAAAAATTTTTTTTTACCACATGAAATGTTAATTTTAATACACACAAACTGAAAAAGGCATGCACAATTAAATGACACTTACTTTTATTGAAGATCTGGTGATGATTGATGGGATGGGAGGAGGGGAGAGCATTATCTTCTTACTGTTTAGAAGGGGAATCCCCTTCCATTACGACTTGAGGTAGCAAGTCCTTTTCCGGGTTACTTCCCTTCTTCTTTTAATGCCACTAGGACCAGCTTGAGAGTCACTGGACCTCTGTCGCACAACAAATCTGTCCATAGAGCTCTGTACCTCCCGTTCCTTTACGATTTGTCTAAAATGGGCCACAACATTGTCATTGAAATAGTCACCAGCACGGCTTGCAACAGCTGTGTCAGGGTGATTTTCATCTATAAAGGTTTGCAGTTCAACCCACTGTGCACACATTTCCTTAATCTTTGAAGTAGGCACAATGGATTCCACAACTGGCATAGGCTTCTCAGGGTTAGCCCCAAACCCTTCAAAATCTTTCTTAATTTCCATACTAATTCTCACCCTTTTTACCACAGGGTTGGCACTAGAAGCTTTCTTGGGGCCCATGGTCACTTATTTTCCAGAAACAGCACCGAAAACACTGTAATAATACGAAATATTCCGAGTGTATGCTTGGATGTTACCGCGGAGGCTGGCTGGTAAACAATGGGACGGCCGGCACATGTGAGGCTGGCTGAGGGCACATTGGACGCGTCTCGGACGAAAATCGGTAAGCGGGTTTTTAATCGGTATGCGCGGCAAAAATTTTGCGATAAAAGTAATCGGTATGCGGAAAAATCGCTATGTGATGCCATCGTTATGCGGGGGTCCACTGTATATCAATTTTAGCCCTGTGGCAGATCAGTATGACCACTTGTCACCAGATTTCTTTAACAAATCTATAGGAGCAATACAGATTTACAGATAAATACATACTGTATTACTTCTTTAAGTAAAAATGATTACAGTACCTTGAGTGATGATAACACATTGTTAAATAAGAAATAACCCTTAGATTCAAAAATTAGGATTGAAACAGCATAAATATAGTGTTAGATAGGGCCAGGATTCTTGTGCTGTTTATTCATGCATGAGATTTTAATCATCGTGTTAAATGTAGTTAAGACTGTATTTTATATACAGTACATTTTTTTTATTTTATTTTTTTTATTAACACATAGGCCGATTCCCACCAAGGCAGGGTGGCCCGAAAAAGAAAAACTTTCATCATCATTCTCTCCATCACTCTTGCCAGAGGGTGCTTTACACTACAGTTATAAAACTGCAACATTAACACCCCTCCGTCAGAGTGTAGACACTGTACTTCCCATCTCCAGGACTCAAGTCCGGCCTGCCGGTTTCCCTGAATCCCTTCATAAATGTTACTTTGCTCACACTCCAACAGCACATCGAGTATTGAAAACCATTCGTCTCCATTCACTCCTATCAAATACGCTCATGCACGCTTGCTGGAAGTCCAAGCCCCTCGCACACAAAACCTCCTTTACCCCCTCCCTCCAACCCTTCCTAAGCTGACCCCTACCCCGCCTTCCCTCCACTACAGATTTATACACACTCGAAGTCATTCTGTTTTGTTCCATTCTCTACATGTCCGAACTGCCTCAACAACCCCTCTTCAGTACATTATATAATCTTATTTTATTTTTGCATATGTAGGAGTTGTGCATTGCAGCATTTTTGAGGAATGTAAATTTTGTGAATAGGGAGGACTCGGGGTAATTTTTTTGGTGATTCAGACTTGTATCATGATTTGAATTATTACCATTACCGTATAAAAAACTTATCCTTGAGAATTATGTTTCAGATGGCGTGACATTGATATGCAGGAATTATGGGAAGCTGTCACCTATCGTGGCTTTCAGAAGTTGGCATTGCAGTTTATAGGATTTGGGTTCAAGGAAGTAATGCGATCAGCTTTTCCTGTGCTGCAGGTAAAAAAAATTGTGTGTAATGATACCCATTGAGTGATCATATTTATCTATTAAATGCATTTTAGTTTAAATGTGTGTTGCATTTTGAGTAAAGGACTGAATATCATTTTGCAGTTTTGGGAGCTAATTGTATTTCAGCATTATCTATGCACTTTAAAATTTATACAGGGTATTTTGATAAGCCATCAGTACACGTCTGGAAAGACAGCATTTGGATGAATGATGGGGAATGTGTTTTCTTCTCTGGGTCACCCTGCCTTAGTGGGAGATGTCCATTAAAGTTCAAAAAATAAAACTCATACCAGTTGTGTAAATAAATTATTCAGAAACTGTGAAGTGGCCAGGGAAATGGAGATTGAAAAATGTATGCTAGGTAGGAAACAATTTGGTTTGATGTTGTTAAACTGGTACTGCATATATTATAAGAAATGATAAATCATATATAAATGTGATTCCTTACCTTATTTCACAAGAAAGCAAAAGATCAAGTTAACCATCAACCATGTACAATAGGCCTAATTTTTTTAATTGAAAGTGTATATATGTTAGCTATTTCTACAAAGTTTAATAAGAAAGAATTTGTACTAAATGTGACACATGAGCAGTAGGTTAGCACATACTAAATCAGACATAATAATATAATAATATCTTTATTTCTCCTGTAATTATTTTACATGATGGTAGGCTTGCTGGTGTCTTTTTTCTGTCTCATAAACATGCAAGTTAAGTTAAGAAAGCCTAGGGAACAAATGGATTTGTCAGTAAAAAACAGAGTAGGGGAGATAGTAGATGGGGAGATGGAGGTATTAGGTAGATGGCGAGAATATTTTGAGGAACTTATAAATGTTGAGGAAGAAAGGGAGGCGGTAATTTCATGCACTGGCCAGGGAGGTATACCATCTTTTAGGAGTGAAGAAGAGCAGAATGTAAGTGTGGGGGAGGTACGTGAGGCATTACGTAGAATGAAAAGGGGTAAAGCAGCTGGAACTGATGGGATCATGACAGAAATGTTAAAAGCAGGGGGGGGATATAGTGTTGGAGTGGTTGGTACTTTTGTTTAATAAATGTATGAAAGAGGGGAAGGTACCTAGGGATTGGCAGAGAGCATGTATAGTCCCTTTATATAAAGGGAAAGGGGACAAAAGAGACTGTAAAAATTATAGAGGAATAAGTTTACTGAGTATACCAGGAAAAGTGTACGGTAGGGTTATAATTCAAAGAATTAGAGGAAAGACAGAATGTAGGATTGCGGATGAGCAAGGAGGATTCAGAGTGGGTAGGGGATGTGTAGATCAAGTGTTTACATTGAAGTATATATGTGAACAGTATTTAGATAAGGGTAGGGAAGTTTTTATTGCATTTATGGATTTAGAAAAGGCATGTGATAGAGTGGATAGGGGAGTAATGTGGCAGATGTAGCAAGTACATATATGGAATAGGTGGTAAGTTATTAAATGCTGTAAAGAGTTTTTATGAGGATAGTGAGGCTCAGGTTAGGGTGTGTAGAAGAGAAGGAGACTACTTCCCGGTAAAAGTAGGTCTTAGACAGGGATGTGTAATGTCACCATGGTTGTGTAATATATTTATAGATGGGGTTGTAAAGGAAGTAAATGCTTGGGTGTTCGGGAGAGGGGTGGGATTAAATTTGGGGGAATCAAATTCAAAATGGGAATTGACACAGTTACTTTTTGCTGATGATACTGTGCTTATGGGAGATTCTAAAGAAAAATTGCAAAGGTTAGTGGATGAGTTTGGGAATGTGTGTAAAGGTAGAAAGTTGAAAGTGAACATAGAAAAGAGTAAGGTGATGAGGGTATCAAATGATTTAGATAAAGAAAAATTGGATATCAAATTTTGGAGGAAGAGTATGGAAGAAGTGAAAGTTTTCAGATACTTGGGAGTTGACGTGTCGGCGGATGGATTTATGAAGGATGAGGTTAATCATAGAATTGATGCCTCTTCAAGGGGGGCTCCTTGGCGTGGTGAAGAGGCTCTTGGTCTGAGGAATTAGACCTGTCGGTCTACTTCCTCAGACCGAACCCCCGTTCCCTATCCCATCCTCCCCTTTTTCCTTTCCTCCTCCTCCTCCCCACCCCTCCCTTTTGCCCTTTTTTTTTTTTTTCCCACAGGCACGCTAGTTCCTAGGTAGGGGAAAGGGTACCGGGGTCCATCCCATTCCGTTGAGGTTCTTGGCGGTGGCGTAGTTTGCCGTGGAATCTGGATTGCCTGGGGATGTCCTGATCCCTCTCCGGTATCCCGGAGGGTGGCTTTGGGTGTCTCTCGGGCGACGGGTGTATCTCTGGAAGCCACCTTTCGGATTCCAGGGGTGGTGGCCGAAGGAAGTATGCTTTGTGGCGGATTTCCAGCCGCCCTCTCTCTTGTCCACCAAGGTAGCTTGGCAGATGTGAGGTTGCTATCCCGGATTGCCGGTTTACTGGCATGATGGGTAGGGTATGGCACGGGTTCCATGCTGCATCTGCGCTACTTGCGGTGCTGAGGTCCTCTTGGGCGCGGAGGGAGATTTCTGGCCCTTTCATTCCTCCTAGGAACTATCCCTCCCCGGTCCCCCCTTTTTTTATTCTTTTTTTATTTTTATTTTCTTTTCTTCTTTCTTTTTTTTCTTAAAAACAAAAAGAAAGAAGTAACCTAACCATGGCAGTCCTAGTCCATGAACCTGCTACCCCCGGGCCCCTTCTTGATACCGCACCCCGTTCTGACCCCGCCTCGTCTTTGGACCAGCCGTGAACTCCCATCCTCAGTTTATGTAGCAGGACATCGGTTACAAGTTCGAAAGGTGATCCCTACACCGCAACAGTGTAGAAATTGCTGGCGATTTGGCCATCCAGCGAAATATTGCAGATCTATCACTGAATGCCCAGTCTGTGGTGCCGATGACCATTCTAATACGTCTTGCAATCGACCTCCCTCTTGCCTTAATTGTCATGAGGCTCACCCTTCAGACTCTCGCCATTGTCAAGTCTACTTAAACGAGCGGGAAATCCGTTACCTCAAAGAGGCAGAAGGTCTCCCTTATGCCATGGCAGTTTCACATCTCCGCCTCCAAGGGAGACTACCTCGTGTTTCTTATTCCCGTGTTTCAAAACGTCCCCCCACTTCTGGTATCCCATCTTCTGCGCCCACCTCTGTGGTTACCTTTCCCATAGTCACTCCTGTAGCTAATTCTTTTGCTGTCCTCGGCTCAGACGTCCCTACTTCAATGTCTCAGTCTGATCTTGCTTCTTCGTGTTTTCTCTCACAAGCCTCAGTAGCGACGAGATCTCGTTATGACACCTCTCCCAATCGTCCCTCTACTTCTCAAAAGTCAAAAAAAGGTCCGTTAACACCTCCTACCCATCTTCCACCTCCTCATTTTCCCTTCCCTGTCTCTGTACTTGGTTCTCCCCCTCTCACTGGCTCTGTTACAAGTGTAGAGGTTCACCCTCCTCCTCGTACTGTACCTTCCTCCCCTGTTCCCTCCCAAGTTTCTTCCTCTTCGGCCACCTCCCAGGTTTCTGCCTCTTCTGTCCCCCTTCCAACGCTTCTCCAGTTCCCTCCACCCTTCTGTCCCCCCCTACCTTGGTACAGTCCATTACAGTTCCAATCTTTACTCATCCTCCCCCTACCATTTCCAATATTGTCTCCCATACGACGTCTCTGAATTCTGAAACACTTGAAGCACTCTCTGAATATATTGCAGAGACCAAACCATCAATGGACACTGATCCACCCTCCGCTCCTTCTCTCTCCTCTACTCCATCTGCGCAACTCCTTTCTTCACAGCGCACCGTTCCTTTGCTCCTTGAACGTTTTCCACTGCCTCCGCATGTGGACTTTTCTAACCCCTCTAGTCCGTAGGAACCCTTACCTGCGGATTTCAGGTATCTTTATCATTGCCAATCATGGCCTATTTACAGTGGAATATACGCGGCCTCAGGGGTAATCGGGGTGAGCTTCAGATGTTACTCTCCCAGTTTTCCCCTGTTTGGTGTTTGCTTACAGAACCAAAATTACACTCTGCTGTTATCTCTCCCATCTCAGGCTATAATTTATTGTATTCTTCAGATCCTTTTCCTGATGGGACCTTTAATGAAAGTGCCCTTCTTCTACGCACTGATATTCCGTACCATCAGCTATTTGTTCGTACTTCGCTGCATTACACAGCAGCCCGTATCCACTTGCATAGGTGGTATACGCTCTGTTCTTTATATCTCTCTCCTTCTCGGGCATTATCTATTCCGGATATTGCCTTTCTTGTTTCGTCATTACCACCACCGATTCTGTTACTTGGTGATTTTAATGCCCACCATTTCCTCTGGGGGGGGGGGTCTCACTGTGATTCCTGTGGCATTCAGTTAGAGCTTTCTTGCCACCCACCCCCTCCATGTTTTAAATACAGGTACTCACACCCATTTTGATCCTCAGACTCACACTCTCTCTTGCATCGATCTCTCAGTCTGCTCTTCCTCCGCCGCATTAGACTTCACTTGGTCTGTTCTTCCAGACTTACATGACAGCGATCATTTCCCAATCATTCGTACTTCCCCTTCATATTCACCACCTCTTCGCATCCCACGCTGGCAATTTGATCAGGCAAATTGGAACCTTTACTCACACCTAACTGTTTTTAGAGAGGTTCCTTCTTCGTCCTCCATCGATGAGCTTTTACACCTCTTCTTGTCCTCCGTTTTAACCGCAGGTTCTCATTCTATACCCCAAACTTTGGGCAGGCATTCTCAGAAATGCGTGCCTTGGTGGTCTCCTGCTTGTGCTCGTGCAGTACGTTTGAAACGCGCTGCATGGGGCAGGTACCGGTACAATAGAACCACAGAGAGACTTCTTGAATTTAAGCAGAAGCGTGCGATCGCTCGCCGTGTCATCCGTGACGCTAAACGCACTTGCTGGCGAGATTGTCTCCACCATCACCTCTGCTTCCTCTATGAGTGCAGTCTGGAAAAAAGTACGAAAAACTGAGTGGTAAATATTCTCCTGACCCAGCTCCT